GTCAGTGCACCGGCGGTGATGAATGAGGAATCAGCCAACAAAGCAAACACACTTCCAAAGACTGAAACGGGCAAATCGGTAATTGTCAACCTTGCCTTGCCTGGTGGCACCATCGACGAGAAACACCGGCTGACTCGATTGCTTCGTGAGGTGAATGAAATGCGAGAAATTCGTGAACGACACGACTCTTATGCAAGTGAACAGTCACTGGAAGCAAACATTCTCAAAAATAAAGACAAGGAACTGCAGCGGATCACCAAGATTCAGCGGTCAAAGAAGCTCCTCTTCAAGTACAAAGTGTACCAGTACCTTAAGAGACCAACAAGTTTTGCCGCTATGGTCTACCATGTCTTTGCATTCATCCTCGTTGCCTCTTGCCTGATTCTCTCCGTTTTCCCAGCCATGGAGCGGCAAATGGGAAAGGTAATAAACAATAATAAGCTAGCTAAAGTCAATTCAGTAAACAGTTTATGTGCAATTAATCATGTCCAACCAGACAAATTTCCTTCCCCTACAGCTCCCAATATTGGACATTCTCGAAAAGACCGTTCTTTTATGGTTCACCACCGAGTACATTCTCATGTATGAGCACATCAATCGTTTTAGAGCAACCTTCTTAAGAATCTAAAACCTTTAGTTTTTCTCCCTCACTCGCAGGCTCTGGGCAAGCGAGTGTCGACCTCAGTACCAGGGTCTTCGCGGCAAGATTGCCTTTATCAAATCACCGGCTCATTTAATCGATCTACTCGTCATTATTCTCTCCGCTGCCCTACCCTACATTTCTACGCATGACGGCCATGAGGTGTTTGCCTTTCGAGCATTTCGAGGATTTCATCGGTTCTTCCAAGTCCTCCAGGTGATTGCACTTAAGCGACAACTGCGACCATGGCAGGTAAGAAAGCTTTTTTGCAAAGTAAGAATATTGTTAACAAACATGTTATTTGTATAGCTATTTTGGTCAGTCCTCTATGACCAACGGGAACAGCTGTTGATCATTTTCTACCTTGAAATTGTCTTGCTGTGTCTTCTCTCATATCTTGGCTTTCTAGTGGAGCATGAGGCTAATGAAAATTTAGAAAACATTGCTGATGCCATGTGGTGGAGTGTAAGTAAACGAGAATTGTTTTGATACAATTTTTGTAACTTTATTTACTTTGCAGGTTGTCACGTTAGTAAACTCTTTTAGAGTGCCTTCATTTCAGGAAACTTACTTTTAATCAATTTTTCAAGGTTAACTACTGTTGGTTACGGCGACAAAACACCCATTACTGCTCTTGGAAAGGTATGTAAAAATGTGACCAGTGATCAAATGTTTGTGTTATGGTTGAGGACTTTTACTAAAAACTTGTTTAATTGCAGCTCGTTTCCGGCCTCTTTATTCTGTTTGGAGTGGCCGTTTTTGCGCTGCCGGCTGGCATCATTGGAGCTGGTTTAGCTTTGAAATTGGAAGAAGTGGAACGCACTCGCCAACGACGACTGAAAAAGGAAGCTGCGGCAAAGTTGATTCAGCGTGCTTGGAAATGTTACCGGGCAAATCACGCCTACTTTGAGCTCAGTCAGTTTTTTCGCCATCAACCAGGCGATTTGTTCAAAGTGCGAGTGTACGACAACATTAAGCGTGCTTTCATTGAGATAATTAGATTCAGCATAGCTAAAAACAGTTTCAAAGAAGTAACTCGACCAGTGGATTTAAGGAACGTCATTGAGAGCTACAAATACGGACAAATGGACATTTTTGCGAGACTAAAACAGCTCAACTCGGCACTGGATTTGATCATTACGAGAATGTCAGTGGCTGAAAATGAACGCGTTTTGGCAATCAATCAGTTGGCGCGAAAGTTGGAGTCAATGGAAATGGTCAGTGGTGGTGAGTCTGGCACGGCGATTCGAACCAAATCTGATGGAACCTTTCACCTGGCTACTACCACAGGAAGCCTAGACACTGCTTTGGGGACGCCAAATGCCGGATTAAGATATCTTGACTTGTTCCATCTGCCTCCAATGCCAACAACAAACACTCATCCGTCAACAATTCCACTTCGAAGCAGACCAAACTCTTTGAGCTCTCATCACGCAACTCCTCATTCACATTACCACCATCCTCGTCCCTACTCTACGGCCAACTGCTGCGCGCAGATTCGCAGCAACTCGCTGGCGCACAGCGATCATACCTTTTCAACAATTGACGAAGTAACTGTAAATGAAGCTGGCGAATCTGAATCAAACATGGCCATCAACTCAAAGTTTCCTAGTAATTTTAACTCATCCATTTCTTTTCTCATTGAAGATTATTCACACAAGGTAAATCCAGATGATGATTTGTCTTTAAACAATCCACAGTCAAGTGGGCAAACTGTTGTTAGACAACGAAGACAAATACGAAGGAGACACTCACAATAGTTACAGATTTTATTTGTATTTTTAATAAACTAATTTATTTTTCAATCGCACTCCAACTTGGTAACATTAAAAATTTTAACCCATGGGTTAATGTTGAATAGCAGCAAACAAGAAGCACAGGGCGAGTTTATGGTGTACTTTTCAAATTCAGCATATCGATGTTGTTTCTGGGCGGTAGTCGGAATCAATGTTACCGTTACATTGTAGTTGAAAATTGGCATTCCATTGGTGGTTGCTGAAGTAAAATTTTGTATTTGGTAAAGTGCTGAAGAGTTGATTTGTACGTTTAAAACCTCTTCCAAGTTTGGTTTATACTGCATGAGGATTTTATCATTGGTAGATAGATCTTTCCAATCGGTATAGTTGAAGTTGAAAGATTTTTTTGCTGATACTTGAAAAGAAAATTGCACTAAAACCACAAGTACTAAAATGTTCATGATTTTGTTTGAATTGTATTTTTCGATAAATAGCAGTTGAATGAGCTTTTTCATTTGTACTGTTCAATTTATCAAAATGACCTAAATAACATTTTACCGGCAATTTCATCCAACTCGTTTAGGTAAATTAATGACTCGTGAATTTTGTATATTGAAAAGTCCAAAGTTATATTTCAAGTTGTGACACTAATTGTTTGTAAATAGTTTTTTTAAAAATTTAAGTGTTAGTTTTATTTAGTTTTAAAAATAGTTTAACATTTGCATTGTTTAAGTTAAGTATATTTGATGAGAAAAACTTGTTATTTTCAAAGTGGTTAACATTTATTGCACATTTTTGTATGTAATTTAACAGAAAAGGTCGCTTTCTGTGTGGCGATTTTTCCTTTTATCTTGTAGATTACATCTTTCGGTAAGTGCCCAGGAAATGCTTGCACTGAGGGCATCGGTGCTCTATCATTTAATTAAAGGATTAGGTCAATCAAATAAAATAAAAAATGTTGTATTAAATTACCTGTATCCTGGCAAGAATCCACGCAAAAAGGAATAAGGCAACAACTGTAAATGAGGTAATTTGAGTTGAAAACGTCATTTCAGTTGGCTAAAAATAGACTCACCCCCAAAAGCAGCCAACCAAACTTAATCCTCCACAAAGCAACCAGGAGAGCAGACCGGGAGTTGCATTTGTCTGAGTAATGATCATATTCTGACAAGCAGGACAAGTCATCTATTTGGAATTGTTAAAATGTAAGTAAAAACAGGATACAAAATTGGAAAAATTTTACTTTAAAAAATTGACATGTAAAACATCAAAAATGAACATGTTACATTACCTGCACTGGGTCCTGTCCCAAGGCTGGAGCTCCTACGACAATTGTTGCTGGGGCTGGCGCAAAACCCGGTGGAGGTGCCTGGTACTGAGGAGGCTGCTGCATCTGAGGCGGAGGTTGCTGAAAGCTGGGATACATGGAAGGTTCAGGTGGGTTTGGTTGAGCCATTTCGGTAAAGTTGGTTGCTTGGTCAACTATAAAGTAGTCGTTTAGTTTAGTAATTTAGCACACTGCAAGTCTGATCTGCAAGCCTTGAGTGCCTGGCAATTTATATTATTGGTAGACTTTGCTGTTCAATGCAAATGTAAATTGGTACCATAGCTGCAACGCGTGTTATCTGTTTCTATGTGAACAGTTATAATAATGGTTGATTGGACATATTGCTCTTGCATGTGCTTTAGGAAATGTATTTACAACTTGCCGCGCCTAGTAATGTATAATATTTTTTAGAAATAACAAAAGGAAATGCTACTGATTGATTCCTGACTTTTGAAGGAGAACATTTGCTATTGAACAACAAAATTATTCAATTAATAAAAGTAGAGCATTCTCCAATATTGTCATTACTTTTGTTTAAACGCTCCCCCTTCCTTTTTCAAATAAAAAGTGAGTAAGCTTTGATTGCCAGTTGCAGTTGCCTACGTCAACGACAAACAATTGGTTTGATATCCAAAACTGTAAATGTAGTAGGTGATTCACAAGGTTGCCGCTTTACTGACTGGTGCAATGATAAAGAGTGACTGCAAACCACGTTTATGATAACTCTCAATTGACCAGACTAATAGTTTGATAGATACTGCTGCTCCTGGTATGACTCAAATAGGGCGGTTTCTAAACATTTGTTTCAAAGTTTTTTGACTCGTTGAGATAAATTATCAGATTGTCACTTGATGAGTGAAACACGTTTGAAAAAGTAGGTTTATTTACAATAAGAAAAAGTGGAAAATAAATACAAAGATTGAGATGCAGTTGTGATTGTGATTGTTTATGTACAGCGGCGATGTGACTTGTGCTGCCAGTGCTTTACGCATTTAAATTCATTTTCTATTCACAGGTATGTACAGGGAGAATAAATACAAAGATGAAGTAATAAATACGAAATAAACTTTCAATTGATAACAAAACTAATGAACCTTGATACAAAATGATGCTTGTGACAAAATACTGTACAACAAGATGAGGTGCTGCGAGACGAGGCTCGCATTTGATCACATTTGACTTGGCGGGTAGAATGAGAAAGCAAAAGAGAGGAAAAGTGTGACACTGTGACTGGATAAATGGCGTGTCAATTTGGTGGTGACTGGCAAACGAGGTGTGTGTCATCAGTGGTCTCTGGCTACACGAGAAAGCCTTCCGGTGTGCCAATGTTTGTCTGGGCTCTCAAGGCGTAGATGCTGTTCATGATCTTTTTCTGGTGACTCGGCATGTCAATCCCAATGATTTGCAAGTCGTGGAGGCTAAGTCGAGAGACTGCCTGCAGGTTGAGAAGGCCAGAGTGCTCAAAGTTGGGTTGGTAGCGAGACATTTTGATACTCGCTAGCCACTCGTATACTGACTTGAATTGAATCACATCGGGTATCTTTTCGGCAAATGGATCCATTCTGTGTATTGAATAAGAGAGTGGTTAGAAAACAGTTGCAAAAGTTTTACCTATTACATACATGATCACTTGCTGAGCCAACTTGACCAAGCTATCGGGAGTCAGTTTGGAAAGCGTCCTTTCAATTTGGCTAAAAGTCGGCCTATGAGCTCGGTCCTTTTTCCAAGACTCGAGCATTATTTGGTAGATTGCTTCGGGACAGTCCTAAAAAGTAGTCGACAGATTGTTAAAACTTTGAAACACACGACTGTTGCCATGTCACTTACAATGGGTGGTGGCAATCGGTATCCCTTTTCAATACTTTTAATCACATCCTGGTTAGACCAGTTCCAATATGGTCGCTCACCATACGACATTACTTCCCAGCAGACAATTCCAAAGCTCCACACATCGGAGGCAGAGGTAAACTTGCGGAAAGCAATTGCCTCTGGGGCAGTCCAACGAACAGGTATTTTTCCACCCTAAAAGTATCGAGATTAGTTTTTTTGCTTGTGAGTTGGCACTTGTTACCTTGGTAGTGTACGCCCCTTCAGTAGAATATGTTGAATCAATCTCTCTTGACAGACCAAAATCAGCAATCTTGCAAATAAAGGCCTTATTTAGAAGAACATTTCTGCATGCGAGGTCCTGTTTTGTGAAAAGAGAAAGAAAAGGCAGAATTAGACAGTGTCATGGTGGTGTGATTGTCTTGTCGGTGATGGCGTGACTGCATAATCGTATGCTAATTGACACCTTTTACACAAAAGATTTTTGGCTTCAAGCCGACTTTTCTCTCTGCTACTAAACAAACAGCTCATGACTGCACTAGGGTGATCACACAATTGTCTTTAAGAAAAGCTCTCATCAGATGCAGCACCCATTCCGGTTGAACGGTGCGCACACCGAGGGCAAATCATTTGCATGGTGATATCGAGCAATGATTTAGTAATTGGCCCGTTTACAGCTTCATCAGTTGAGGAGGGTGCACACACTCTGACTGATGTAGCGTACAGAGTCGTGCTTTCATTTACAATTCAAATGCTGCTCAGAATTAGCATCCAAAATTTGTCGTAGACAATTGGTAAATGGCATTTCAATTTAATTGCTCACACACCAATTGCAGTCAATTTCAGAGTACTTGATGATGCGGTAGTGCCTGTGAGTTTACCTTTCTTAAACATTTGACCAAAACTTGACTCACTGAGCGGCAGTTTTCAATGGCACATTTTGCAAGAGAAAAACGCACTATACCTGAGCAATAAAGGTTGAGAAAATAATATGCCAACATCTTTTGGCGCTCAAGTGTAATTGCGCGTCTGTGTCATTGTGTGGACAGACCATTTGTCATCACTTTCAAGTCTTTCCCTTTGTTGCTAGCAGTTGTTTCCCCAACACACTTACCCGATGCACGTAATTCATTCCAGAGAGGTACTCCATGCCAGACGCAATTCCTCGAAGCATTCCAATGAGCTGCAAAACTGATAGTTTTCCTTCGTTTGCCTAAAATAAATTAGTAAAAACAAAAGTTTTAATTTTTAATTAATTTATAAAAATGTTGATTAATTTAAATATAAATCGTTACAGTAATTTTTATTCAAGAATCTTTATTAAAATGACCAAAAAAAATAGCCAACTAATTAATTTGTAGCAATACACTGAAATATCTAAAAATAGTGATGTGTAAAAAGAAACTCTTTTACCACCAAACAGTCAATTGGCCCAAGTAAAAAAGATTAATTAAAATAAAATTTTCTTGGTAATTCTATGCTCTCTAGATCAATTCAATCCATCACCACATCTTTTTCTTTTGGCAATGCAAAAATCAGATGCTTGGAAAAAATAAATATTTGCCTCAATGCGTTGCTGATAGAGTGAGGCGAGCTCAGAGTTGGTGAGCATCAACGAAGCTGGTGTTCACTCTAGCACAATGTCTGGCGCCCTGTCTAAACACAAACCGGCAAACTGAGCTGCTGCAATCTGTCTAATTGGCAGCTAACGTAAGCTGCCGACTGCAGGGGTCATTGCTGTTTACGAGTGTAAACTCTCAAATTGAACAAGTAAAGATTAATTATTGCCCGATTCTGCACAGACTGTGCTTTTACTTGTGCAGTTCCTACTGCTGAACAACATGGATAGTTCCTCCAATAGACAAACACAGTTGAAGAGACTGCAGGCACTAGTTCAAGTGGNCTACTTGTGCAGTTCCTACTGCTGAACAACATGGATAGTCTCCAATAGACAAACACAGTTGAAGAGACTGCAGGCACTAGTTCAAGTGGACTGAGCATGTTTAGCAGTGCAGTTGGTGAGTAATGACTGCACACAACTGGACAGTCAATCTGGTCAGCAGGAATACGAGGCAATAGTACAATTTCTATCAATTAACCCATAAGACTGACTGTCAGTTGAACTGGGCATATTCACGCTCAATCATCGCTCGAGGGAGCCAGCCAGCTCAAATGGCCAATTTGGTTGCGGCGTGAGCACCGATAAACACTAGCGCCAGTGACACTGAGCGGACACGAGTAAAAAAAGTGTCTGCACCATGTCTTTTGCCTAAAAACTGACCAGCTTTACAAACGTTGATTTATAAAACTAAAAGGCAAAACCCGACAACATAAGTTGTGGTATGACCATGTTGGGCACATAGTACAATATTCAAGATGGTACAAGCAAATTTACATGCGAGCATGGTAGCCAATTTTGGTAGAGCACTTGCGCAAATTAAAATGGCAGTCTCACTAGGCAAAGTCGATACTAAAGCCAAAGCAATAAATTTAAAGCCGTCTCAATGCATTGACCAGATTAGCACAAAGATTATATCACTGACCTGCGGCGGCAGGTGACTGGCACTGGGAGGGGCGTAAAAGGGCCTAGGATGGTCGGATCCACCTGGGACCGGGATTATCCCAACGGGCTCGACGAGAGGAATCGAATGGCGGTAGTTTTGCAAGGCTGGGACCACCGGGGCCCGGGAAACTCGAGCAGAAAGGGTGCGCAACCCGGTCCATAAGACGTCATGGGACGGGCTGAACCCGCCCCACAACGTCTGGACAAGCATTTGCGGTGGCGTGCAAAAAACTCNAGCTGGGACCACCGGGGCCCGGGAAACTCGAGCAGAACCGGCGCGCGACCCGGTCCATAGGACGTTGGCATGGCTAGTCGCAGCCATGCCCAACGTCTAGACAAGGGGCCTGCAGGTGAATACCGGGCTGGGGGCCTAGCTCGGGCCCGGGTGGGCGGATCCACCTGGAACCGGGATTATCCTGACGGGGTCGGTGAGGGAAATCGAATGGCGGTGGTTCCAGGGTCCTAGGACCACCGGGGCCCGAGAAACTCGAGCAGAAAGGGTGCGCAACCCGGTCCATAAGACGTCATGGGACGGCTGAACCCGCCCCAAAACGTCTGGACAAGCGACTTGCGGTAGCGTGCAAAAAACTCGGGCCCGGGTGGTCAGATCTACCCAGAACCGGGATTNACGGGCTGAACCCGCCCCACAACGTCTGGACAAGCATTTGCGGTGGCGTGCAAAAAACTCGGGCCCGGGTGGTCAGATCTACCCAGAACCGGGATTGTCCCAACGGCAAGGGCGAGGGAAACAAAATGAACCATGTTCCAGGATTCTGAGACCAACGAAACTCGAAATGTTTGAGCAAAACCAATTTTCTATCCGGCCCATAAAACGTTTTCAGGCCAAAACCGAGCCGCCCCAAAACGTCTAGTGATTGAAAGACACTGGCAGACGATTCAGTGGCTTTCACAACTTCTGCTGTTATTGTTGCTACCGCTGGTCAGTTGATCACCAGAGCCTGGCGCCTACCTTGATTAGCCCAGCGCACGCACTAGACCAACAGCAACACTCATAAACTCTCCAATTTGGCTTCATTTTGCGATTCGTGCCAATGGACTCATTAAGCTTTCAAGAGCAAAAAACAGGGTGCTAGTAATGTGAAAAGGTGCTGACAGAAAAAACAGTATTCGGCAGAAAATTCAATAATTCACTAAGCTCATTTTTCAATCGGCAATACACCTCGTTCTTGTTTGGCTATTGTCATGTATTGCCATAAAATTCATTCTCCACCGACATTCAGAAAACAGACAAGCAAATATTTTTGCTCCAATAAAGGCCAACTAACAACAATTTAGTAAAAACATTTGCAATACATTTCATAAATTATGGAATAGCACTTAGAGAAAAGCATAGCTGGAGTAGTGTGTTCGCGCTCGTGTTTCACAATTTGAAAACGAATCGAAAAGCAATTTTAAATTTTTATGAAAGAAATTGTTCAATGGAGCAATAGTGCATTCAAATAAATACGAGCACAAACACACTCACAAGACACAATGCTTGGCCAAGGCAAAAGCAAGTGTGCAGCCAAGGAGTGCAATTCAATTATTGCAATTGATTCAAAAGCAACCTATGTTCTATTGGAAGCAATAATGCTAGGCGGCAATTGCTAAACTATGACAAGAAAAACAGAAATGCAAACACCCAATCCTCAGTCGTCAACTTACCCTCAGGAATGCGTCCAGCGACCCGTGCTCCATGTACTCAGTGATGATCATTATGGGATTAGTCTTGGTGACGACGCCTTGCAAGTAAATGACGTTCGCGTGGTCAAACTGACCCATAATGGACGCCTCAGTGAGAAAGTCAAGTCGCGGCTTCTCCGCAGTGGTCGGCTTCAGTGTTTTGATTGCCACTGTCACCTCAGGTCGACCGGGAACTTTGAGTTTTCCACGGCATACATCGCCAAATTCACCTAAAAGGTAAAATGTGAGTTAAAATGAAAATTTTAGATTTATTTTGTTTACTACCTCCTCCAATGATGGCCTCAATGGTGATATGTGAAGCATCAATTTCCTTGGTGAACTCTTTCACCGCCTGATTCGGGTCCTCATAGGTGTGAGGGTCAACGTAGGATCGCGAAGAAGCGCAATGAGTAAAGAGAGGCGTAGCCACTGAAAAAGTAGAGTTGACTGTAAAGTAAAAAAATGTTAGTGACAATGAAAAAAGTCTAATAAAAGTGCAGGCAAAGTGGCTATAAATTCAAAAGTGTGACCATGCCGGGAGAAAGCATTGTTGTCGTGCTGGCCGAGGCAGTCGTCGAATTAGTGGAGTGCCTAATCGCTATCAAACTAGACGCTCGGTGACACTGCCAAGACAGACAATGTCTGTGGATGCGGCGATAATGGACTTGGCTGCCTCTACCTCGAATTAGCTCAAACACTCAAGTGCGACAGAGTGGCAGCAAATAAATAAATAACCACTCAGTCCCAGTGCAAAAGGATGTTTGAGTGCGGCCTTCATAAATTAGACTTAAAATGGTTCGTGTAAAGTGCGAACGCAAACTAGTGCGGATCCTTTCTGTATCAATCTACTTGCCCATTTAATTGCTTGTTTGCCAGAATACAACTGGTGTGACATAAATTTCAATAAATTGCCTGATCGAATAAATTAACGGATCCATTTAAAAAAACGCCACAAAAAAGAAGAAAACGAGCCCACTGATCGATCCAGAAGGTTATCTATTGTTGGCCTGCCAAGTGAGAAAGGTTTGCTGGTAAGCTGAAGTCGTTCAATTGCTTGCCAAAATGGCGGTCCGAAATACATAAATGAAAGCTAATAAAGGCAAGAAGGCACATCGGTAGGCTTTAATCGGATTGCGCTAATGTACTACTACAACCTCCTGGAAATGCCTCAACTCCTAGTCACTGATCCTCAGATTGTCTCTTCCGCTGGATGACTGCTGCCTGTCTGTTTGCTCGGATGGCAACTTTTAATTCGACCATCTTATCGTGCGCCATCCTGCTTGATTCTACTCGCACTCTCTACTCTTCACTCTCTCTTTCCCTACTACTTTCCCGTTAACGAGAAAGAGGAAAAAGAAAAAAGAAGAGTAGAGACCGTTCACTGGGCTATTTGTCCAGTGTCTATTTATCGAGCTAGCCAAACACAAACAGACACTGTCCAGTGTCTAGTGCAAGTGTCCCTGTGCTAGTGTGCAGTGCTGTATGAAGGATTGGCAAGCGAGTGAAAGCACTATGGGACCGAGTTATGCACAGTCGTGCTGACATGCAACTACTTCCAGCAAACACAACAGTCGCCAGCACTAAATTATTATTATCTGCTTGCAGACACAGTGCACACAGACAGAGACAGGCACAGGAACACAAAGTCTGGCAATGCCTCCGCTGAAATGTAATGTAAATAATCATACGAATCATTGTACGGCAGTATACCATGCTAATTGAGAGTGCTGAGGCAAACAGTCGGAAGAGAAGATGCGGTAGTTCAGTAAAGTGTATGGAGAACTAGAGATGCCTTCTCACTCTGCTGGTCTACTAAATCAATTAGGACAAAGTTTAGCAGTCGCATTGATTGGCCAGCAGTTTGCAAGTCTGCATTATTGCTATGTGTGTGCGTTGATGCTGCAACAATCGAGTGGAGGAGGCAAATTTACGAGCAGGAGTTGCGTTTCTATTTCATGAACGTGCGTCAACTAATCCAAATGGAGGTCGGTCTGGTGGCAGGGTTTTGTGGCAAGTTGTCAATAATTCTAGTCTCTTAATTAGAAGTGACTTGCGGCAAAGTCTCTAACAACAAAGACACCAAAAGAAGAATGACAAAGTAAAAGCTGTCCATTTGCAGGCTTATCTGCAGCTGGTCAGTGTTTGCTGGGTCAAGTAAATCGAAATTTAATAAGACCCCTCGCGTATTGTCAGATGAAGAAATCAATTAGTAAAGCAAACAGAATAAAGCAAATAAATAGAAAAGCAATTGCAAAAGCTATCCTTGCTTAGTACTGTGAAATTCAACTCCAAAAGTGAACGAAATTCATAAAAAACACAACTCGCAACTCTTTTGACAAAATATGATGTTTGCTGGCCTGTCACACAATTTGCGGTAAAGATCAAAGAACAAAAGATACTTACAACGTGGAGTTGGCACTATTGGAGGATGCTCAAATGCAGAGACCACTGTAAAAGAGAAAAAATATACTATTAGAAAAGCAAGTGACTGGCAGTGAAGAAACGACAAGTGCCTAGGTACTGATCAATGAAAACACTAAAAGTCCGGTACTTATTTCAGAGCATCGGCAGTGTTCAGATGGCTCAAAAGAGATAAAAGCATCGTTTGAGTTGTTAAACCGGTAAGCAATAACTAAATCGATAAGATATTCAGTGCTGACAATAATGCTATTGTATCAGTGCACATGAGAAGAAAAGATAGAGAGCCAATTTGCAAACGGTCTTCCAAAATCTTACTCTGTACAAGTGGATTAGAGTATTCCTTGGCAGTAGCACTGTAATACTGCCACGACAACACAGGCAAATAAAGACATTAGCGGCGATGCTAATCAAACATGCACAGCGCAAGCAAAATGTGATGATATGGGCAAAAGAATAAATTAATGACGGTTCGGTTTATACACACACTTGAGTCGTTGTGAGATTGAACACATGGTTGATGGTGAGTCCCTTCAAATCAGATGTAATGCTCGGCCTAGGCAGTACAATAGTGTCCATCGACAAATAATACTTTCATTTGCCTTTAAATCGACTCACTGAATGTAATGTAAATAATGGCAAGCCAATCAAGTGGGACTAGTAACAGCTTGTAACAGCAATCAAAAACGATGCTATCACGCCACTGGCAGCAATCGGAAATGAAAGAAAAATTTCAGCCGAGAATATATTGAGAATGGCATACAAATGAAAATTTAAAATTCTTGTTTTTTTTTCTAATACGAAGGGCAAGATCTAGCATCTTCATGGAAATTGTGAATGAAAATTTGCGGCGGATGGACCAATAAATTGCTGCAGTCAGCTGAGAGTGTTTGCCTGCGCAAGTGTGTGCGCTTGCTGTATGCAGTCTGTCAGTGTTCTGGCCTCTGGGAGCATTGGACGCGTTGATGACCAGTGCAGAAAGAGAGAGGGAGAGCAGGGCCATTCAAGATGATGGTAACATAGGGGTACAGAGACTAAGCAGAACGCAAAAAAAAGTCTAGCTAGCAGTGCGCACATCGATAGCACTGATGATTGATCACACACACTATTCAGTGGCCATTGAGCGTTGGGCCAACTGCTCAACTGCAACAGCAGAAGCATCGTCGGGATGACTACCCTGTTTGCTGACCGCGCGTGTAGTCAGTTTTGTTCATGAAATCAAATCCTCCGACTAAATTTGCTCTCCTAAGTGGATCATTTGTTTCCCTCCTTTCCAGCATACATTAACCACTAGATGCCACTAAATTAGCATTATGAGCAAGCATCAAGTATAATACCGAAACTACTGGTAAAGCACCAAAAAGTTCTGGCAACTTTTTTTATGTAAATTCAATTGCATTTGTCAGCTTTACCGCCTGACCACGGTCATTTGGCACCACTAATAATAATATTATGCGTGCTACCAATCAAGATGCTGTAGCAAGAGCCAAGTTCACATAAACCAGGCACTTACAAACTGATTGAAAAAAGATATTTAATTTTAAAACGGATACACGCCAGGGCATAGCATTGAGGGTAAAAACACCAGGAACTGTGATAGAGCACGTTCAACGCTGTACAAAAGTCTACTCAGGAAACTGTGCCTTAGCCATTAGTGTAGCACTCACGCCATTACACTCAAACATGGGCGCATTAATTTAATTTCTCAAAATTCAAATATAATGAATAAAAAATGGTCTCAGCTGGCAATTCGGTGCAATCAATAGCTAGTAGAGAATTGAGAAAAAAGAAAGAGGGAGGCAATAAACCAGTTGAAAAAGAGGTTGAAGAAATTCCATTGAGTGCCTATGCTCAGTTGGCCCAGTTCGAACCTAAACGATGATGCCCATCGATCGGCGAGCAAATTAATTCGAGCTAAATGAAGCCAACAGGAGAAAAGACAGAAAAAGTGCAAGCTGCAGAAGAGCGGCAGACAGGCCAACAGACGAGCTGGGCTCCTAAGATGTGCTTAACGCTAGCAACAAACGACAGTGACGTTGTTTAAATTAAATAAAAAACCTAATTCAGGAAAACACTGCTTCGATTCAAAGAAAAGTGCATCTAAATACAAACGCCTCGACGCGCCAGGCCAAATCGATCGGCCGTCTGTCTTCATTTCCACAAACAGACATTCACTGATGACACCGAGCAAATGAATGTAGCAAGAGTGAAAGGCGGTTAGACAGAAACAGGGAGCTATTACTAGAAAAAAGCTTTCTTATGGCAGAGACCAAGTCAATCAGGTAATTAGCAAGCAGAGTGCCATGAACCTGGTCATGTCACAAGTGGAAAGTATTGAATGACTGAGAGCGCTGATTGTAATTGTCAAATGGTGCCATGTGAATGACTGCACTGACTCTGTTGTATGTGGTGGAGGTGGCGGTCGTGCATTGACATCCGAATCAATTAGATGGTCAAAGTAAAAGTGAATGTCCGACAGAAGTAATGGGCAAAAAGATTGATTGTCAATTTACATAAATAATAACACTCAATCACCGGACATGATGCACGACCAAGCAGTGACACAGGCCAATAAAACGGAGCCTAAACTAAAAGCAATACTTACATTTTTTGCCTTCCATGCCGCAGTTACGGTACTCTAGCGTATCACAGTCTGAGGGCTGCTTCTTATTGCAATCTTCGCTGTTTCTGTACAAAGAAAAAACAAATGATTAGAAAAATTGCTTGGTAATTATTGAGATTAATCGCAATCATCGTACAGTGTAATCAATTATTGATGGACATTTGTGTTTGAAGAGCACTCTCGTGAGCTATGCTCCTAGTGGACACATACACACACACACACTCGTTTGGCCATTATCTGCTTAGACCAGCTTGACTGCGCCCTGACTAATATAAATATTTCTACTTATGAATGGAATTATCGAAAGTAAATGACCAAGTGGCTCGTGCTAACAACTTCAAACAGGCAGCCAGCAATTTAATACACGAGCCGAGCAATCAACACAACCATAAACTAACAATATAACTGTGAATGCTTGGCGAATGGACCATGCTCTTGATAGGAAAAAAAAGATTACCAAACAACGCAGGCAAAAATCACTATGGCTACAATCATAGGAAAAGAAATCAAGCTGGCCAATTAGTCTCCTTAGCTTTACACAAGGCCGAGCAGATTGCCGCCGTCGGGACCGAGCATTCTCGTACGTTGTTGATAATGTTGGTCTCTAAACAGCACCACCACAACTTCGATTGCTGCCACCAAGAGCCAGACAGATTCGATTTAGCAAACAGCTCCCTAAAGACTAACCGAATGGTTTATGCCTGTGTATGTGTGCTCAAACCTACCATACTAAACAGAGAATCCTGATGATGCACAGCACTCATAACACTTTTATCTATTTTCAGCAGCAAAAAGTTTCTAATCAAATTAAATTAGATTCTTCTGCACTTGGAGGTTTTGTTGTTTGCTGGCTGCTGTAAATACAGCTTATTTGCTGCAAACACGGCAGGAAAAGAAAGAGAGAGAAAGAGAGAGAGAGAGAGAGAGAGAGAGAGAGAGAGGCGTCGTTGAGGTCGAGACAATGAGGGAGCAACGAGTCGAGGCGCCAACAACTCTCAACTTATGTAATTGCCGCCAGTGGCAGTCGCATTTCGAGCACTGAGCTCAAGGCGCCCAAGTCAGCTAAAAGTCATCCAGTTGAGCACACTTTACCGCCGGATCTCCTACTACTCGCATAGCTGCTTGCTATGCAAAATTGTTCAACTTGACAAATTCTCCAGAGAAGTTGTTTTCACTGTAAAAGCAGAGCACCACTGGCACTGATGCTTCAGATTGTCAGTAATCGAGCTGGCTGGGTGAACCACTGAATGAAGCCAAGTTAAAATTTAATAAACACGCTTTGTGGCTCCTTTTTCAAGCAAAGAATGAAGCAAATGCATAAGGCAGTAATAGTGCAATGCTGCATGTTGCCAATTGGTAGTTGCGAATGAAAGATTGCAAAGTGAGCGTCCTGTTGGGTAGCCAGTGAAGCTGCTAAGGGCGACTGCAGAGTAGAACAGCAAACCACTGAATGGCAGGCGTACAGATCACACTTTGTCCACTCAGCAACTATTGTCTACTGGCGTACTATGTGTCGTGGGTTGTGTAGTCATCACTTTTCACACTGCCTGCAGAGCCACCCAATCAGAAACAATTAATTCGCCGACAAATTATCTGTAGATTGCGTTCAGTTAAAGGGAAGTTTCAGCTGACAACTACAACAACTTAAAGAGGAAGAAGAAGAAACCAGTAGCTATGTGATACTGGGCATTTTCTTTACAGCTCACGCCCGCATCACTCTGCACGTAGTCTATCTTTGGGTGCAGTCACGTACGGATGAATCGATCCGGGACCCATTCTAAAAGCAGGCAAACCACCGACAAAGCATAATTAACCATTAGGCGAATCCAGCAGAAAAGCAGTGTTAGCTTTTCAAAACTTCCAACTAACCAGATTTACATGGCCACGATTGTCAAGTGTGTCTGCATGATAATAAAAACAGTCGATCGATTTGGAAGCTCAACAAGATACTAAACAAAATATTGCAGTTAAATCGACCAAGGTTTTAAAAATTCAAACATATTGCAAGAAGATAAAGATGCTCAACTTGAAAGCGAAAAAAATCCATTTTATACAACTTTAGGATATGCCGACAGATGGCGTATGGCTCCAAAAGTTTCAACTTAAAATTATTTTTCAAAAACAAAATATAAAAATACATACCTTCGAAGGTAAATCACGACCATCGTGGTGATGACGCCAAGCACCACGACTACCATTGCGATTCCGGCGTAGATCATTCGTGTCTGTATAGATTCATTGCCATCCAGAACGTTTTGTCCAAGTGGTTCGCCTAGAGGAGAGAAAAGAATGCGTTAGAAAACAATAGGTTGGTAAAAAATCAAAATGACCCTTTTTCCTCATTGGAACGTGTCAGATAATGAAGCGCCTTTCGTCCGACACATGTCTGACTGAGGCTTCCCATTTGGCACCCGTTCCGAGCAGTTGAATGCAGAGGAGAGCGAGCGAGTTAATTCGACTTTAATTAAAGTTGTTTAAATTGAAGACAGGCAAATGGATACGCACATCTGCCTGGGTTGACTGAATACAGCACTACCACTACTTTGCATCCGACAGTGCCTTCCGATTAGAGTGTAAAGCAAATTAACCGCGTTTTTGCCTGGTTTCAATCACACACACATTCTGGTGCCCACTGTCGACGTAGAGACTGAGATTAAATGATTTTAATTAAAGTTTAATTGCACGCTCTAAAGTGGCCATATTGGCAGACACTGCATCCAGTGCGCTCACTGCTGCTGCTGCTGCCTCTGGTCTCACTCTATTGTGCTCATCACCTCCACTGGTTTTCTTCATTAGCCGCCATCTTTGGTAAGCACATACACACACTGCTCTTCTACTAAATTGACTCTATGCAATTTTAATGCGATTGCCATTCTTAATGTTCCCTTTGTCGTGTCTGGTGGACTGTGATCTGTATGTCTGTGTGTATGTCCGTGTGTGCCTGGCAAACGTGCGGCTGCGCCAGCGATTCTGGTGCGGAAGCCAGGGGAAACCGGTGCTCAAATTCCAGCCAGCAGCGGGTTCCGTCTCTCCATTGCTACATTTGCCTGTACAGACAGCAAGTGGCGGGCCATCGAGCAAATTGGTGTAATTTGCAGATGATTCGCACACAACTTTGACGACAACGACTAAGGCGACACGTTATGGATTACATTCCGCGCTCACTGATCGGCGCTCATTTGAATTTGGGAAAGTCATAAAGCGAAGACCAACTCCCCACTCTCACAGTGCCTCACGGTGGGAATCAGTGAACAGCAGACTGACTGCTATGCACTGAGGATGTGCTTGCTGCCGAGTTGTGAATGTGAATGTGAATGTGTGTGTATGCTCCGTGTTGGCACTTCGCTCCAGTTGGCCACTAAATTTGGCTCTTGTTTCCACTGCTCATCACTCAAATATTTGTGCCCGTTGTTCTCTTCCGTTTGGGGTGCAGGGCAGCAGCAGCAACAGCGAGGCTAATGCCAGAAGTGCAAACACACATACACACACATCGTTGTGAACACTTTGCCGTCGATACCGAGAGCCATACTCTGCAGTCGTGCAGAAAATTCTCAATTTAAACATCTCCTTTGCTTTTCTTCTGTACGGCGCGTGGGCTACCGCTTTGCGATTCAGCAGAAGAAGATGCAGCTGCCTCAGTCAGACTATTTGTGGCCAATGACGCAGACTATTGTAAAACAAAAATTTGACTAACGAGTTGCTTAGTGCAAAGGGGCACACACAGTCTCAGAAACTCGGCAGAGAGATAGCATGGCACTACAGATGCAAATAAAAAATGAAGGGAGCAAAAAGTTGACAGTGGTAGTGGTGAAAGGTCGCGGTCAAATGCAATGCAAGTTCCCGTCAATTCAATTGAAAGCGGAAGGAAGAGGGTGCGAAATTCTGATTAGCAAGACTGAGTCAGATGTGTGGCAGAGGGGAGAGGCGACAGCAGACAGGCGCCAAGTGAAAGCTTGCCAGTGCGGCCCTGTGTGGGGATAAAGAGAAGGGAACAACCTAAAGGGTTCAAAGATGGCCGGGTGGGTGAGTAGCAAGGAAAGGGTGCCTTTTGTGTCAACATGCTACCCTAATGAGCGACACAAACAGGCACGCACAGACCACCACCGCCACCATGAGCAGCCTGAGCATCAGCAGCGAGCTCAATAATTGATGCGACCGGCAAAGTGCCAAAGCTAGAAGGAAGGCACTCGAACACGTGCTGCGAGGCGGCAGCAGTTGGCCACAAAGGGTGCACTAACGACAATCGGCCTGATGGTGCAAGTGCACACACTGGCCCACAAACGAGGAAAGTGAAAGAACTGGAACAACCACTAGCGACTAATTTGCCGGCTGTGTGTGTGTGATGCTGATTGAATTGAACACAGCTGAGGACAGTGCGACACCAGTGGACACAAGGAGTCGACAGAGACGGATGGCAATAAAATAAATAATTAATCGAATTAAATGCTGCCTAACTAAGCGTTCTCTTATTCATCGACTGGATGGCTAAGAGAATCGAAATGCAAAATTGCAACTGGAGAGTGAATAATTGATCGCTCAAATAGAGATAAATGTGCAACCTACGGCGACTGGACACAGCCAAACATGTCCAAGCTGGTAAAGACAAAATATTGCTGCTAATACTAGACTTGCAACAAAGAAATCCCAAAACAAAAAACCGGCAATACGTACCAGGATTAACGAGTCGTTGTCCGGTCCTCCTAATGACTGGCTGGCTGAAATCACTCCAAACGGTTCCAACTCGATAGCGAACCTAAATCGATGAAGGAGTAAGAGAGAAAATTGTTAATAGAGACAATCAAATCGAATCGATGCAATGACGAGTGCTCTGGACGCCACTGGACGACTCGACTGTACCGACTCGAAAGGGGCTCCATCAGCTGAAGGAAGAAAAGGTTAGCAGTGAAGGAACAGACCAATTGAAAACATCGACCATAGAAAATGGGAGACAAGCAAAGCTGATCACAGGCCGAGACATTGAGACTGGACAATAAATGCAGCAATGGCCATCTAATTGAAATTATATTCGCGATTAATATCGGCGCTCAAGTTGAAGGGCCATTTGGCAAAAGAATGAAGACGACAAAAGAGAAGGAAGAAGGCGATCAGGCGGCCATTGTGTGCACAGTCCAACCAGGAGCGATCGCCCCAGCAGCGGACAAGTGTATTGTCGTGTCTTTGAGGCAGTTCGATGTTAGGCAAACAAATATCATTTTATTTATTTATTTAAAATTAAAGCCAAACAAACAATGCGCCCTAATAGCTGTTCGAGGCGAGCGAGGTCCGAACGCTGGTGGGGCAGCGAGCTAGCTCAATTGGAGCCATTACCGGGATAGTGAGTGCAGGGCCATACTTACTGCGACATTATTGAATTTAAAGTCAGTGAAGCATTTCATTTCATTTACTGTACAGACACACACACACACACATAGAGACTTTTGTAGTGAATCGCAATCGTAATGGACTACGGCTAAGGGCGCAGTGGCAGACGACGACGGCATTGCCAGGGTCGAGAACACAATTCATCGCTGCCGCTCCAAAACTTTACTTTTGTCTGCACACACACACTTTTGTCTATCTATCGGAACTAAATTCTTAATTAGCGATAATAAAATAAAAAGACAGAACAAAGCTCGTCCTGACTGCCTGCCTTCGAGCCACTGCACTGACTGAATGCCAGACAACTTTGTNCGCCGCTCCAAAACTTTACTTTTGTCTGCACACACACACACTTTTGTCTATCTATCGGAACTAAATTCTTAATTAGCGATAATAAAATAAAAAGACAGAACAAAGCTCGTCCTGACTGCCTGCCTTCGAGCCACTGCACTGACTGAATGCCAGACAACTTTGTTCCTTTTCTCTGCCGTAATTAGACATCACGTCAAATGAAGGAGCTTTTGCTATTTTATAGCATTTATCTAATACTGCCATTTCAATTTCACATTTCGCCTCAGTTTTTGTGGCCTGGTAATTCTATTTGTCTCCTTTTTCTAGCTTACTCGCACACACATACAGTTGACACTATGTATTTGTGTGTTTACTGTACACCACTGTGCCCATTGAGTTTGCCTTTTCTTTTGGACCAAAATGTACAAAACTTTTTGCTCAAAATCTAAAGAAAGAGAGAGAGAGAGAGAGAGAGAGAGAGAGAGAGAGAGAGAGANACACACACATACAGTTGACACTATGTATTTGTGTGTTTACTGTACACCACTGTGCCCATTGAGCTTGCCTTTTCTTTTGGACCAAAATGTACAAAACTTTTTGCTCAAAATCTAAAGAAGGAGAGAGAGAGAGAGAGTAAAGACAAAACAAGAACAAGCTTCAGCAGACGACACAAACATACAGACACATCAGACAAACACAACTCGGTAATGATGTTGGTGGTGATAAATCGAATCGAAGAAACCACAAATGAACACAACGATTGAGCCAGCCGAGTCCAACTTGGCGTCGCGCTCGATAAACGCAATCAATAGCCACTCGAGACATGCAAGATGAAAAACAAGACTCGACAAAAAAGCGGTAGAATGTTTCTTTGTGCAAGCGACAGTTGTATAAATTAATATAACATAATTAACTCAATGTTCGCTCTAACGTTAGACGCAAGTCCGCTTATCAAAGACAACTGGGGGCAAAGTTTAAAAATGTCTCGATCGATTTTTTCTTTTTGGTCTTTCCCTCAATGCATTGTAGGAAAATTATGTTGAACAAATAAAAAACAAAAATTTACATACCTGAAACTTGTAATCCGTCAGGGGGTCAAGATTTTGCAATGTTTTTTCAAACTGATTTCCAGGCAAAGAAATTGATGTGTAGTTTCTAGAATTTTCATTAAGCATGTAATGCAAATCAAATTTGTCAACTTTTTCCAGAGGTTGTGGCTTGCCGGTGCTTGGGTTGAGCACAAAGTCGTGTTCACTACGTCTCCACGCCAGTGAAACTGATGTTCCCTCAGCTGAAATTAGTCGAAGAAGGGGTGCGTTGAGGGTGCTTGCTGGAGTGGCTGTTCAAATGATACAATTCAATTAGTTACGTGAAAATTAAGTAGTAAAAGTGAAAACGTGCAAGAGAAACCACTGCAGTGATTTTATTGTGATTGATGTAATTTCATAATTAAAAATGCTAATTGAAGTTGTGTACAACAGTGCTGAGATTAATTCGCAATATCGATGCAAATTATTCACATTCAGCTGTGTTGAATACGAGTTTTCTCCAATGCTCGTGATTTGCATAAATCATTAAAGGCAAATGCTGCTGACCAGATTCTAGATGCTTTGTTTTGGTAGACTTGTTCTTTGAAAAAATCAGTTTAGTAAAATGTCAGTGTAACTCTAGCCTATTAATTAATAAATGAAAATCAGCAAAATAAATAACGCAAAAATAAATGACAAAAATGTATGATTGGTCAGCAAAAAAATACTATCTAGGATTATTTGACTAAGTTAAAAACAAAAAATGCCTACTATCCAATTAGTAGCCAATGACTGCTAGTAGTTTTAAAGTTCAAAACTTAAAACCGTATAAACTTATAAAGAAAAGTCATATACTTTTGATTTTAATTTTAAATAAAAAAGAAAAAATGGCATAGACAACAAATGAAGCAAACAAACATCAAAATGGAAAAGAACAGACAGTTAACTAACCAAATTACGAGCGCATACTCCTGGCCATAATAAATCGAGAAATGGCGCCATTCGAAAAAAGTGCGTATCGAAATGTACTTTAAACTTCAAACAGCTTTCAAACAGGCAGTGTCCTCCTTCCCAGACGGTTGCTCAAAGATCGACCGAAGAGAAAAGTGGAAGGCAAAGTAAATGATGCACCAGTTTGATGGTGGTGCATGTACGTAAGCACAGTGCGCTCTTAGCAGTCTCAGCTGCAAATGTCGAGTTTGCAGAACAAGCACACGGAAAGGAAGCACCAATGCAGCACTGGTAGTCGATATTGTTTGGCATTAAAAGATCGCCCTGGGCAGAGCGTCGGGCCGGTCAGAATGCAGTTCTGGTTGCAGCCCGAACGAGCACTACAGCATCGCACAAGCAAATCGCCTGAAATTGCTTGGCCCGCTTGCACCTACCACTACCATTTTGACGTGCCTACAAGAATCAGCATTGCCGCCAAAGTGCTCGCCAGGGCAGCAGCAGCAGCAGAACGTGAGCATTGCAGACGATGCAAGCGATCCGGTGCACAACCGAAAGACAACAATCGATTCCCGCGAGCTGCAGTAAATTAGCAGCGGAAACTCGGCGTTATTTCCAAATTCCGCCCGAGTCTGATTGGTCATACCGCTGCTGACTGAGCTTAGTCGACCGGCAGACATGGGCACATTGAACGGCTTGAGGATGGACGGAGCAGCAGTTGACAGAGAAGCAGAGAGGCAGTGAACAGTGCACCCTAAACGGTAATGCGACAGAGAGATAGCCTGGCACTAGTCTATTGCTATCTCCGAACAAGCATTCACTGCAAAAAGTGCTCACTATGGGTGTGTAATGCAAGTGCAATTGGCGGTAGCAACTTTGGCAACTATGTCAAATTAGAAAGAGGGAGAAGGAAGGCGAATAGTTTTCCAACTTGAAAGGACAATCTGAATATGAACAACACTAGTCTAGNAGTGCAATTGGCGGTAGCAACTTTGGCAACTATGTCAAATTAGAAAGAGGGAGAAGGAAGGCGAATAGTTTTCCAACTTGAAAGGACAATCTGAATATGAACAACACTAGTCTAGTCTGTCATAGTAGCACATATTAACAATACATTAAAAGTTAATTAATATAATGCATTACACTTTGATGTGGGCTAATTTGCCCTGCAATGGAGCACCCCACTTCCCTCTGCCATCAGCGGCAGCATCGTTTACAACTTCCAGTGTCAGTGTGCAGTGGTGGCGTCCTTTGTTGACTGGCGCAGACTGGCAAATCAGAAAATTCCTAGTTTAATAAATGTCTTTTGTCTAGCAGCTACTAAAGGCGTTCACTGATGGCGTCGACTTGTTTCAAAACCATCGCCTATCTGGTCTCATGTCGACCGACAATCATACGGTCTGGTGGCACGCGGCCAGCAAAGTGCCGTGTTGCAAACATGTTTAAAGTTCACAAAAAAGATAATGTACTTCCTTGTCGTGTTTGCATTTTTTCTTAAAAAAGCATTTTAAAGTCCTAAGTAATTGACAGTTAACTTGATTACTAACCCTACAACTTACGTAGGANCGGCGTCGACTTGTTTCAAAGCCATCGCCTATCTGGCGTCATGTCGACCGACAATCATACGGTCTGGTGGCACGCGGCCAGCAAAGTGCCGTGTTGCAAACATGTTTAAAGTTCACAAAAAAGATAATGTACTTCCTTGTCGTGTTTGCATTTTTTCTTAAAAAAGCATTTTAAAGTCCTAAGTAATTGACAGTTAACTTGATTACTAACCCTACAACTTACGTAGGACATATTTTACAGCTACAGTACATTAGTGTGTGACAATTAGAAAAACTAAACAAGCGCTTACCTTTAGGAATCAGATTGTACAGTGAGTTGGGATCATTGGTGATCACGATAGGGTCTGCAAAAAGNAATGTACTTCCTTGTCATGTTTGCATTTTTTTAAGAAAAAGCATTTTAAAGTTCTAAGTAATTGACAGTTAACTTGATTACTAACCCTACAACTTACGTAGGACATATTTTACAGCTACAGTACATTAGTGTGTGACAATTAGAAAAACTAAACAAGCGCTTACCTTTAGGAATCAGATTGTACAGTGAGTTGGGATCATTGGTGATCACGATAGGGTCTGCAAAAAGAAGGAAAAAGAATGAAACAAAAGTATATTAACAAAAGCAGTTTGACAATGACAACTGGACAAACAATGGAGCGATAATGTGCTGCGCAGTTGATGAGTATAAATGGTGATGCTAATAACGTAATAAATGAATTGCCACTGCATTGAAATGGTGCACCAGCATCAACAGCAGCAGCCTACAAGGGACAACACCAGAATGGACCAAAGTAGCACTGGCAAATAATGGCTGTCAATTAGCAATTTGTCCATTAGACTCGATAGGGAGCGAGTGAAGGAGCAGTGTGCACTAGTGCCGCTCATTCAATGACCATTACTCTGGTCGTCTTGTCGCCGCACCACCATCATCCACCAGCATTCATTAATTATTGTCCCTTTGCGATAGAAAGGACTCCATTCTCTGGCTCACTACATGGCGAGTAGAGCAAACAAAACAAATCACGGCTGTAGCGCTGCTCGACTCACCACAAAAAAGAGCACAGTAAGAGGAGAAACGAGAATCTAAGAACCCTAGAATGGTGGTGTTTCAATGTCGTCAACTAATTAGAATTTATAGCCATCACCCAATCACTAATACCTGACTCGTGTAGAGCCATGGGAGAGCGAAATGAGGCAAAGTGCCATTAGCGCGTTTTGGGTGACCTGCTAATTGCCATCTAAACAGTGAGCTTGCTAGAGAGAGGCATTCTAGTGCATTGACCGAACTTTTGTCGATAAACTAATGGACTTGCCACTTGCGTATTCTCAAGTGTCGGCATTGACTGGAAAAAGAGAGAATAATATTTGCTCTTGTACCTGTCTCAGTGGTGGCGGTGACTTCAACAAATTGACTAGTGTCGTAGCCGGTGACGCCATTCTCTGCGTACACTTGCAAGCGGTACGCAGTGACTGCGTTCAGACCGGAGATGGTCACTTTGGTTTCGTTAAAGTTCTCTTGAGCAGGTGCGTAGTTGACGTTGGCCGAACAGGCTTCACAGGCCACCCTGTAGACGGTGTCATTGCGACCGCCGAGATACTTTGGGGGTGACCATGTCAAAATGACGGTTGTGTGGTCGACGAAACTGATGGTCAGATTCTGCGGGGCAGATGGAGGCTCTGTGGAGGAGTGGGTTAGAAACGGTGTTTTCAAAATGGAAAAAAGGCAATTGAGCTTACGTGTGCAGGGCATTCCTTTGGGATCCTTTGGCGCTCGGTAGTAGCCGGCATCACAACGACACTCGGTAGCACCACGGTAGGAGGACTTGCTGTGAGCAGGACAGGACCGGCAGAGTTCATCGCCCACCACAGGCTTGAATGTGCCAGGCGAGCAAACTGTGTTCAAATGAAAGAACAGACACAAATATCGATTAGTGGACAGAACATTCCATTTGTAATGGGAAGAAATGGTGCTCAGTTGGCGAATTGAAATTGAATTTGCAAAAAAGTGATTTTGATTAGCAAAAGGGAAGATTGTTTGCATGCAGAAAAATGCGAGTTTTCACACCCAAACAATAACAACGCATCGACTACGGCTGGACAACCGAATTGAGGCAGGCAATTAAATGTTCTGTTAATTGCAATTTAATGCTCATTAGTCATGCACACAGACTAAGCAAGGTGCCAATTGTCTTCTGTCGTTGTGATTTCTCAAATTGCGCGCAGCAAAAAAAGAGCAATCATTTGCTCAAGCACTCAACTATCAGATGGAAGATTTAAAAAGTGGTAGTAATTCTAGTTCTGCTGCCCATCAACAACGGCGATGATTGATCGCACTGGGCAATGGCATTGAGCATCGTGAATTAATCAAATCAGCAAAAAGGAATCGACAGTGTAATTAAAATGTAAATGCCTGGCAGATATCTTCATTAAAGAGGGATTAGCTTACCTTGACAGGTTTGGGCAACTGGTTCATAGCCGGGCATGCACTTGCATCCACCCGATGGCAATGTCCAGTTGCCGTCGCCCTTGCAGACTAGCTTTGGCAGCTCCACTTGCTGGGCGTTTGCCACGCAGATGCCGTCGGTTTCGACGATGGTTGTCAGCTCCTTTCCGGTTGGCGTCTCCGGGTAGAACGCAAAGCTGCTGGTAATGTTTGGACAGGTGATGTAGAAGATCTTTATTGCGATTATTGAAAGACAGGCGCCCTGGTCCCGGAAGGCAAAGTAGATGCCCTTTTTCGTCACTGGAACGCTGCGCACTTCAGTGTTGATGATCACCTGTGCACGGGTGGAAACAGATTAGTCAGTGTTTTCAAAAGACAATTAAAAGTCTGGTTAATGTATTCTCCGCCGATGCACTCTTTCTGGCTGAGTATAAGCTCTAGGAGAAAGAGAGCAACTGACGAATGAAGTGACGATTTGTCATAACAAACTGATGGAAAGGGCGCAGCTTGCCATCTTAGCGGTGCTAAGTTAGCATCCTCCTCTCCGGCACGTCAACTACTGCCAGCATCATCTCATGTCTGTTTATCTTGGCTACGCGCACTAGTAGTTTAGCAGACCCCACACGATAGTTTAGCAGCGCGTGCTACAACAAAAAATCGTTTATCCATTGCGCAAGGATAATTCTAATCTTGGCTCTGAGTGGGTCAAGAAGAAGAGGAAGAAAAGCTGAGAAGTGGAGCATCCTAAGGGGACCATTAATAATAATAATGAAGAAGACGAAGTAATGCTGGCCCAATGGACCACCACCAGAGTGAACCCATCTGGTTGTTGTCATTTCGGCGCGTCTGTCAACAGAGCTATCCTTTGAGGGCACTAATTACTGATGACTGCTTGGTTGCTTGGCACAAATCAGGAGAGAGAGAAAGAGACTGCAAATGGTCCGCTGGGCTACTTCGTCTGCCTGACAATGAATCCTTTGCCGTTTGCAGACATAAATAAACACCAAACAGCAAAAGTGGACGAATGAGCACATGAAAGTTGCACCCATCGGGTCTGCAATGGTCCTTCACTTCCATCGAACACTGATGATGATGATGCAGCTCAGACAGCAAATGAAGGACTGCCCAGTGTGTGTGTGTGAGTTCGGCTAAAATAAGCAAACTGGCAGTAGTTGTACTTCGATACATCAGGCAGCTCACTGCCACCGTTCACTTGACAGCCCCGTCAACTGAGACATGGGCACAGATGACCAAAGGCAGACCCAATGACGACGTCCTTGTTGGCGGAGAGCTCGCGAAAAGAACCGTGTCCTTGTCAATCACGCGTAAATTGACTCCACTCGTACTAACCTCACTGTTGGACGTGAAGCGGCCTTCGTCAGCAGCAATACGGTCGATGAGCTTGTAGGAGTCGGGCTCCCATGGCGGGGGGTCCTTGTGCAGACCGTCGTGTTCGTAGTACAGCAGCGAGAAGGTTTCCTTGCACGACAAGGCCATGCCTAGATTGAAAAGGAAAAAAGAGTGCGTTAGTTAGGGATGTTAATGAACGCTAATGCAAAAAGCGGAAGCAGATCGGACAGGCTTAATTAGAAATTTCAATTAGTAAACTTGCAAGTACTACTGCCAGAGTTGTTCTTTACAGTGCTGTTACGATGCGGCATCAAGTTTGACTAGAAAGACGTTTACAATTTGTCGACTTTTTTAATAAATGCCAAATAAAAAGATATGTTAGAATCAAAACCCTGGAAAGTTGCTCAGAAATGCCTATTGTGTGTCGATCGATAGTACACAATCACGCTTGAGTAGAGTGCTTAAACTGCGGTGGACAAATATATTCATTAGAGAATTCAGTTGGTAACATATACGGGCTCACTGAGAATAACACAACAGCCTTTATTGTGCACTCGTTGCATAATTTGACCAAAAGTGACGAGCTTAATTAGAGCAAGGAATATGGGGGCAAAAATGCTTGTTCTTGCCATTGTCTAGCACAAGAGAGGAGTGCCTGCCTAGCTTTCGATTTGTACATGGCATAATTTGCAACTTTATGAGAAGCAAGCTCAGCTAATGTAAAGCCACTGGTGATGCCTTTATGTGTGTGCCTGTGTGGTGCCCAGACAACTCGAGGTGCTGCCAGAAAGAATCCACTCGAGTGGCGAATCCAATTAGAAGCACACAGAAGCACGGCCCGTTCGTTGTAATCCTTTTCGATCGAAATGTAGGCGACGTAGTCTAAGCACAACTAATTAAAACTATGCAAATTAAGCTAATTAAAAGGAAACAGAATGATTCGTGCCTTCTTTGCAGCGGCATTAGCAGTAGCAGCAGGGATAGCCGAGTTGCACAGCAAAACGAAAAACAAGACAAGAGGGGCAATGCAAAACCCAAACAGAGAGCCAGTAGGCACGAACCAGCAGCACTTTGAAGTTGAAGTGTTAAAAAACAGACACTAGTGCTGGGCTGTGAAGGAACGTCTGCGCAAGAAACCGAACTTCTGCTGTTCAACCAGATGGACTTGAGAGGAAGCAGCAGTAGCATTTAGCGCTGTGTCATGGCGTAAACAAACGATCATTTGTGACACTTAGCGGATCCAGACAGACTGTGGTGAAGGCCTAAGGTATCACTTGGCTGTCTCCTTTGCCACTTGCACTTTGCCACACCACCACTAGCACCATCAACACCCGCACAATCACCCGAAGAAGTGCAATGTAAACAGATTTACATCTGATCAGCACTGTGCCTGTGAACTTTAGCTGGTTTTTCACTCTCTCATTCTGATAACGGACTGCTCGGAGTGCTGAGACGGTGGCGGTTTTGCTGCACTGCTTGGCATCGCCGTATGTTTGTCTTCCTTCGCCCTCGTGCCGCCGCGGCTGCTGCTGGCTCGATCAAGTTGCAAACAGAATAAAGTAGAAGTGGAATGATTAAAGTTAATGATAATGATGAGTCTGCGGGTAGAATCCAAATAGAGAGATAATAATAGCCTTTCGACGTGCCTGATGACAGTGATTAATAGAGTGGAGATAGCGAGTAGCGCCAGGGAAGAGTGAACTGGCCAGGCTGCAGTGCTGCTTAGCAAGATTGATCTGCCTCAGCCATCGGAGACAATTGCTCACTGCAAATTGTTTGATTACATTCGGACAAAGTCGGTTCGAGAGAGTTGCTTCCTAAGCAAACACACTGTCCAGTGCTGTCCATTGATTGATGCCCCTGCTTTGCAAGTGACAGTGCTACTGATATCAGCGATGACCACCACCATCTAATTGGCTGCCATTAACCGAGACATCAACACTACATGGGCACTCGACATTTCTAAATCATCATCCTCGCTCTTTAGACGCCGCCGATTCTGATAGTGAAAAAGCAGTGGTGAAATGAGAAAGTACTCGACTTACCTGGAAAGAGATTGCAGTCCCTCATGCTGAACTTGATCTCGATGTAGATGCGATTGGCATTGTGCCTTTCAATGAAAGGCGTCCACAGCCAGTTGTTGACATTATTGTAGGCGACATCGCAAACGACGTACGATCTCCAGTTGATGCCTTGCTCAAAGTTGGTGAAGCTCTCTTCGACCCACTGTAAAAGAGAAGAAAAACAAAATTAGTATGGGTTGGTTGATAGGGAGAATGAACAAAAAACACTATGAATTGAACTAATTGAACTGAACTGCAAAGAGAGAAAAAGTAAAAAAATGCCTTTGCATGCTTTGCTGCCGCCAAATGGCAAACCTGTGTCACAAATTAGATTACTGCGCCAGTGAAACCGACGTACAGGTGATGTAAATTGACCTGGCCACAGAGCGAACAGAGTGAACAGAATGCCAATTGAGAATCAGTGGAGNAGAGAATGAACGAAAAACACTATGAATTGAACTAATTGAACTGAACTGCAAAGAGAGAAAAAGTCAAACAATGCCTTTGCATGCTTTGCTGCCGCTAAATGGCAAACCTGTGTCACAAATTAGATTACTGCGCCAGTGAAACCGACGTACAGGTGATGTAAATTGACCTGGCCACAGAGCGAACAGAGTGAACAGAATGCCAATTGAGAATCAGTGGAGCTTGTAATTAACAGTGGTTGGCTCCTCTATGGCAAACAGACAAACAATCAGTGCTCAATGGCACTGTCACTCATTGGCTGCTGGCAAACACAAAAATGGTGTCAATTCGAGGGGGAGGAAAGAGGGGCGATCTGACTTGAGAAGCTGGCATTCCCTGCAAAGGACAAACAAAGAAGAACGAACAGCAACAGCAATGTTACCATTTGACAGCGATGCTGAAAAGATAACTANGAGGGGGAAGAAAGAGGGGCGATCTGACTTGAGAAGCTGGCATTCCCTGCAAAGGACAAACAAAGAAGAACGAACAGCAACAGCAATGTTACCATTTGACAGCGATGCTGAAAAGATAACTATCTGTAGTACTGGTGCACTGTCCCTAATTGGTGANAAGGGGGAGGAAAGAGGGGCGATCTGACTTGAGAAACTGGCATTCTCTGCAAAGGACAAACAAAGAAGAACAAACAGCAACAGCAATGTTACCATTTGACAGCGATGCTGAAAAGATAACTATCTGTAGTACTGGTGCACTGTCCCTAATTGGTGATGTCTTCGATGTCTGCAGAAGAAAGACAAAGAGCATAGTGTGAGACACCGAGCGGAAGGCGGCAAAACAGTGCAATTACATGCAACGCTGAGACACGCACCAGAGGACACTGGGCTGAGCCTGGCCAAAGAAAGTGGCCAACAAAAAAGCAGTACTGCAAGCGAACCGCCATTGCCATTTGTCACAATTAAAGCGCCAATCAAAGGAAATGCAAACGAACTCAATCGGGATGAACAAAGGGGCGCGAACAACCTCGCAACGACAACAAAAACAACTACCACCAGCACTAGAGCCGCCGACGGTGGAGTTCTTTCGTTCAACACCTGTCATCGCATTCCAGTGCAATGACTCCTAAATGATAAACGACACACACAATGGCGAGCTAATAGTGATGACACAAACTGCCGTCACTTCTCCGAGTGGTAGCAGAGGAAAGCAAGAAATTCGATCGCAGAAACTTCCACTTTATTGCTGCCGATTAAATGCACCCAGAAAAAAAAGTAAAAGAAATGAGTAGCCAGAGAAAACTACATCTGTTACATAATCGGAAAGTAGTGGTTGTGCTCGCCACCAAACAGTGTATGGCTGCACGATTGCCAAGAAATACAGTGAAATGTAAGAAAGAAAAAGCAAGCAGTACAGATCAGATGAAGTGTGCTCAGTCAGTCTGGTACACCCCTTACAGTTAGAGTTGCCCGCCCCGAACCGCTTCACTCTCTGTCCAGCTTTAATTGTACTGCCTAGTTTCATTTTGCACTTTCCATGTTATACAAATGACAGTCGTCATACTTTATGTAAATCCAACTGAAACGAGGAACTTCAAATCAAAGCTCCTTATTTCAATGCTGTTTTTGCCACAGGAAATGAAACTCAAAGAAGTTGGAAACCAGTGTTTGCAGAACGACAAATGAGAAAAGCAAATACTCGATTGAAAAAAGGGAAAAAAGAAGGAAAAAGGAAGAAGACTGCACAAAGGGCAGCCAATAAAGGAGCCTTGAAGCAGTGGTCGTTCTGGTGCAGTGGTGACAGAATGTGGCGACAAGCGATGCCAGTCAGCGACTGCATTTGAATGTGCCAACTGGTCAACTGTGTGTGCAAGGCAGAACCAGAGTTGATTGCCTGTGAACTTGGCAGCGAGACGAGAGCAGGCTGCACAGGGCTCAGGCGCACTGATTTTATTTGAGCCGTTGAATTAACGCTTTACTGGACAGGCAAAATGTGTGGCCAATGTTGTCGTTGTCATTCAAAGTCACTGATTCAGAAAGACCATCAGGGCGACAGAAGTGAAAAGAGAAAAAGAGAGAAAGAGAGAAGGGCTCAAGTTCAAGATTAACTCTAATAGTGCCGCTGTTTAATTGATGCGGCACCCAGTGGCATTTGCCAAAGTGCTCCACCAGCTTCAACTCTGATTTGGTGCAGTGCAGCAACCAAATGGTCATTAAAATATATAAATAAAATTTAATTAAAGACCAGTTGACGTGTGGCAGAAAGTAAATCAAAAGAAACTTACCCCTGGTGTTCGTGACTGTGGTCCATACGGAAGACGCGTCCAGTCGAGTGAGCTTTCCTGCGTTGTATCCAACAAAACAACTGTAA